AGCGTCCGATTTTTTTTTGACATGTTTGAAAATTATCGGGAGGACGGGAGGTGCTCGTAACGTTCTCGGATCGGCCCGTAATTCTTCTCACACGGTACGAGCTGCGACCATGCGAGCATCTGCGATTTTCTCCCGAGAGAAAAAAATCGCCTGCGAGCTCGTACGGCAGCAAAAATCACACCGTGTATGCCCGCCTTTAGGCTTTCGTCGCCGCTAGTTCTTTGAAGTCGGCTTGGTGTGTCCCGGCCTTAAGTTTGCAAGGTTTGTGAAATAAAATTTTCATTAGCCATTCAAAGATTTGTTTAAATTATGTAAATGCATATTTGCTGAATGCTGACAGCAAACGAGAAAGTATTATAATGTTTGCCTTTCTATTACTAATAATATAAAAGCAATCGTTATAATACTTTTTGTATACATTTTAATTCCTTTGTTTAACAGTTCTATCGGATTATTAGACAGACTTCTATCCATATTAGACAGAACTGTTAACGACGATGGCGATCAAGAGGGAGAATGTGAGCACTGTGTGCTCAGGCGCTGCTGCTGTCAGCGCCGTCAAAATAAAAGTCCCGCCTCGAACGCATCGGCCAAACAGAAAAACTTATCGGCCGACCGATCAGTGATGTAACGTTTCTGAATAAAACAAAACACATTTTGCATGCATATTGAGTTACTTTTAACCTGTTAACTGTCATGGGCCCACTTGCCATTACAAGTTTTAAACAGTAATATCTTAGTCTGAACCTAAAGTAATCTTGACAAACTATATATTTGTTTGAAAGCTTAAAGACTAGTTTTTATATTTGGTGACTGATTTTTAAAATATTTTACAGAGCAACTGTAATTTATTAATATGCAAGAAGAGTACTCATCAGAGTCAGAGAGTGCGTTCTGACCTTTACTTTGAAATAGTGATACACATGAAATCATGAAAAATCTGTAAAAATCTTTATTAATTTTCATAGAGAGTGTTCAAAAGATAACATCCATTCTATTTTTTGAGAAAAAAAGGTCTAAAAGTGTTTTGAATATATAGAAAAAAACAATAGATTCTCAATTTTGTATGCATTGTGAACTATAACGCAAGTCCAGGGTTCTCATAGCATGTCTTTTATGTTTTTTTTTTTTTAGGTTGAATTGAAATCAAATACTGCCATACTGCCCTTAATACTTCTGATTGTGATGTCTAATTCATAAATATTGAGAAAAGTATGGAAAAACATGTTTCAGATCACTCAAACCATATATGGAAATGAAGGCCTCCTTAAATGGTTACTAATGGGGTTTGATGGTCATCTAGTGGAAAAGCTCATTTTGTGAGATATCAACCTCAAATTTGGAACATAACTTGTTCAGAATTTTGGTTTAGATTTTTTAGCAGTTTTAGAGTAAAACATGTTTTGTAAAATATAAATATTTAAATTTATTTTTTTAAATTTTATATTTTAATAAACTTAAACTTCCATAACTTTTTTTGTTATATAATCTTTATAACATTTTTCACTTCTACAATAATCTGCCAAGTGTCTTCTTTAAAAAGAGGCCAACCTTAAGTCTGGGGTCCAAAGCATTCAAAATTTATAACAGTTTAAGTTGGAAATGTCATTTTCAGGTCTATGTTCAAAAAGTGGAACCGACAGTTAACAGGTTAACTTACATTTTAATTTCAGTCACATTTTTTTCTCATCAGTGAAATTTTGACCCGGTGCGCTTATAGTCAGGTGCAACTTGTTTTCCGGAAAATGCAGTACTTGTTTTTGTGTGCTACAGAATACTCAATTACAAAATTATGCAAATACACAATTTGTGATTTTTCATCTTCTGTTGTAAATCTAGATTTTTTTTTGTAATGTCTGTGGAGACATTCAGAGATGTAGCTTGTATGGACTTGGCTCGGGCGATTTAAGGAATCATGTGTCAGGGTTGCAGTATGTCTGCTCAGACAGCAAGTTCCCAGAGCCTATTTTTATCCCTGTTATTTTTTGGTCGGTGGAGCTTTGAGCATTAGCACAGCTTGCGTCTTAGTGTTGTTTTGGGCTGGCAAAACATCGGTGTCGTCATAATTTTGTGGTAACTTAGGGGGTTTTAGGATTTTATGGGAGCATATCTAGCTGAGGTGCCCCAGTTTGGTCAAAGTGCCACGCTTGACATTCCTTAACTGTATCTGTGTGTTCTCTAATGTTCAGCGTTTGGACGGCTCCATCAAGGGAGAGATCAGAAAACAAGCACTGGACCACTTTAATGCAGAAGGCTCTGAGGTAAGATCCTAAACTATGGCATGCGTGTTTGTTTTGTTTGGGCAGAGCTTCACTGTTTTCAGATATTTGCTGTGGTTGTGATGTTCCAGTCAGGCACTTTACTGGTTGTGGGAATGCTTGATCCATGGGAAATACAGGCCTTATGTAATTACTAGAAGAATAAAAATGTAATTCATGAAGGTTCAAAACAATTCTGTAGTATTGAAATAAGAAGGGCCCATATGTGTGTTCAAAAACTCTAAATAAATCATTAAATATACAGTATATACAATAAATTAATGTTTTATAAGGTTGTGAAATGACTGTAACAAAAAATAATGCAAAACCATAAAGCAAAATAATGGTTTCTTAAAGGAACGCCACTATTTTTGAAAATAGCTCATTTTCCAACTCCCCTAGAGTTAAACAGTTGAGTTTAGCATCTCCGTTAGCATCTCGCTCAAAAATGACCAAAGAGTTTCGATATTACCTAGCTGTGGACTATTTTCAGGCGCTGCGTAATATCATTGTGCCTGCTGCACACATGGTACGGCAGCAAAGTTCCTTGATTATTACGCCGGAATGAGAGTATAGTTCCTAGCCATATCGGTCTAGAAAATCGCAACTTTTCATTTTCCGTCGGTCAAAACACGATGTAACTACAGAAGAGTTAAGTTTTAAATAGGAAAAATATCGAAACTCTTTGGTCATTTTTGAGCGAGATGCTAACGGTCTAATCAGATTCAATGATCTATGCTAAGCTGCAGCTAAAAGTGCTACCGCCAGACCCGGAGATCGGCTGAATGGATTCGAAAACCATAAAACTCAACTGTTTAACTTTTCAAAAATAGTGGCATGTTCCTTTAACAAGTATTGATTTTCTCTGATCGCTCCACCTTTCTGCTGTTGGTCAGACAAACAGATTTACATCATTGGATAGTAGGGCTGCACGATAAATCGCATGCGATATTTAATGCGCA